GCTAAGTAGGCAATATCAGGATGTGCAATCGCAGTGATTTACCGCAGCCCCAAACTGGAGCAGAAGAGCTCCATCGCGGGGATACCGCGTTCAACAGTTACAAGGGAGGCGCAACCCCGCAACGGGCCCGTCTTCATGCGAAGGAACCCGTTGCGAGAACACGCCCGAGGAGTCGTTTTGCTACGTAATCATATAAAGTTCACAATCGACACAATTGCTTTAGAAAGGGTTTCAGGGCCAAAAAAAATCAATCTGTCAAATCAAATTGTAAGAAAAAATTACCTGGTAACCTCTGTCATCCAGATAGAAGAAAAAAAGACATATTTTTAACAGTTTTACTGTTGTTAAATGAGTGAGAGAGATAGAGAGAGGGAGAGAGAGGGATGCATTTATGTCATATATTCGAAAGTTCCGGAAAATAGCGGCTGCGTCCTTTACCATACTCAACGCCTTATTGGGAATTGGGTTCTTATAATAAGTAGTTTTTAATGAGCATTTACTCGAAATTGTGTAAGGAGTTTGCGATGTTTTAAATAGTTAAAAATGTTAAATATATCCTTAAAGTGAATAAAAGTATGGGTGTGTTGTATATTTAATATTTTATTATTCGGGGAACGCATTTCTTTATTCAAAATAAACGGTTTCCCGTTTTATAACTGTAAGGGCTGATTTTTCAATAGTCAGATAAATGTTATCTGTGGAATAAAACAGTTGCTGTCACTGTCTTATACAAACATTCTAACGCGACAGCATCATAATATATATCATATCCCCAGGTATTTTTTATCTAAGCATTAAAAAATCAGCCCTAAGTAAGTACCACAGAACAGAAAATTAAGTAGAAGTGCCCCTACACTCTTTCAAAAGGAAAACCAGTGTCGCCAAAATCACACATTCGCAAATCAAATTGTCCATTACACACATAAAAAACAGCTATATAATTGGATAAAAAGATGAAACGCAACTTTAGCAAATCATCTTCTAAATGTTGTTAAAAATTGAGTCTTATAACAATGAGCGAAAGTTGTTATCATTTCACATGTCACAATCAATAAAGGCGTCTATCGTGTAAAAAACTTAAATAAAACAATTTACAAACGGGTTCAGCCACTCAACGTTAGATGGCGCTGTAACAAATTCATTCTATTCAAAACGCTAACTTCTTTGAAATAGATGTCATATTTGTATGCACTTGTACCAATAGACATTTACTATTTTGCTACTCAGATAGGGCAGGGTATCCCAATATATCGATGTTTTTGTATTCGTGTGAGCAATATAATTTATCGACACGATATACCTACAAATGATCAGTAATGAAAAAGGTTCTAATAGAAAAAAAGAAAAATATTAACATATTTTTTGAAGATTTAATGTTTTTTGGAGATGGTCAAGTTATTATTAAAGATTTCGATTTTAACATATAAAAGCACTGCGCGCTCCTACAAGTTTTATCTCCTTTCCAACTAAAATAGAATCATTAAAATCGGTTCATAAATAACGGAGACGAAAAAACAAAAAAAAAATGTTACAGTCGAATTGAGAGTCACTCTCCTTTTTGGAACTCTGATAAAAATCATGTACAACATCTATATACTTATAATAAATCTGTAGAGGGCTCAATTCTGTACATTAATAATATTTTCAAAATAACTACCAGGGGGTGATTAGTGATCGATACTGATGCCAAAAATGCAATCAGAAAAAATTTTGTCTGTCACAGACAGACAGAGTCTGTCTGTCTGTCTGTCTGTCTGTCTGTATGTTCTTTATAGAAACAAAAACTACTCGACGGATTTTAACAAAACTTGGTACAATTATTCTTTATACTCCTGGGCAGGTTATAGGATACTTTTCATCACGCTACAAATAATAGGAGCAGAGCAGTGAAGGAAAATGTTGGGAAAACGGGAGAAGTTACTAACTTTTGTAAGTTTCAGTCGCGTGTGTAACCTTAATGGTTAAACTTACATAGAAATTATGTATGACGGAAATATTTTAAATTAAATTGTCTAAAAAAAATGATTTACAGCATATGTCTATCTTTTATGGTTAACTCACAATAGCACGCGTAACTCCTGATAGTTTAGCAATTCGGATAATAAGACATAGCGCCGTCGCAAACACTGAATCATGGTATAAGAATTATTTTTGTGTAGCGGTTGCCGTGCTCGACACGCTGCGGTATAAAATATAATATAATATAGGTTTTATCAAATATTTGTAACTCTTACCTATTAGTTAGATCCGTACCTTTCTATCTATTGACGGACGGACTGCGGAGACTTAGTAAGTAATAGGGTATTTACCCATTGGAGATGTACCCATAAAAATGAGACGATAAATACCAAATTTTATGTATACTTAGATTTTGTTCTATTGCTATTTGCTGCTTTTTATCAACACAGCACGCGGGCGCAGCCGCTGGCGAAAACTAGTTATAAAATAAAAATGGTGATTAACCACCCGCACCTGCCACAGACGGATGCACGCTGTGTGTGGTTAAAACGTTGATGTGTCTATGCAATCTTAGTTAAAAATTTATGAATTATACACAAAAATTGTCAAAAACAATTTTCTGAACGATGATGATGAAAAATTATCGATATGAACCTATTTTACGAATATGTCGCATCCCTAAATGAGTAGCGTCGAAACTACTAGAATGTATTGTATTTAACGTCACATAACGAACAAGTAGATTTAAACTTAATTGTAATGAAAATAAGGCCCTTTATAGTTTGCATTGAAGTAATGAAATGTGATATTTACATTTAAATCAAATATATTTAAAATTAACAAAGGTTAATACTCAAAGATGATACGATGCACCACCACAAGACTCATCTTTTTTTCTGCTTACTTTTTTGCAGTTGAAAACCGCACAACAAGGCATAATTTCTAATATATTTCGTGTTTCTTAGAGGCAACCATGACAACCAATCATGACAACGGATCGAACGATTCTGACAACAAATGTGCCAAAATGTTGTATATCTAGTCATCATGTTGGTTAGCGCGCGATGTCTGAGCGGCACTTCCACTGTATTTTCTATTCCGTGGTAAGTACTATTACTAATTCGAAATTTAAAAATCGATAAATACCAAAAGTGCTCTAATGCCAACAACGTCAACTAGAGTCAACCTACTGATATTTTTTCTTAATTACTTATGTATTTAACTAATTTAATTATTATCTATTTTAATTAGAAAATCATTATGTGGAAGAAGAGTATTTTGTATCACCCGATTTATCGATTTAAATAAATATTGATTTGTTTTAAATTTTATCCTATTCATTTGCTCTGCTCAACCGAACTTAAATAATTCAAATTTTATTCTAAGTCGTACACTTATATTATGCTGTCTCTGTCTATCATTTTGTTTTATTTAAAACTGGGAGAAGCCCAGTCGCCGAAGTAAGTCACCCGCATTGTCTTCTGAATTAAGGATGACTACATCCTTCGACGAATTTATTAGGAATTATTTACTTCTTGTTATTAAAAAAAAAATGGTATTATAAAGGTACAGAAGACATTCTATTGATTCTTTAGATGCTGGCTTATTTTAAGGAACTTAAGAGTTTATAGCGACTCCGAGAGGTCGTGGTGCGCTTGTCTCGTTAAATATAATGCCAACGTTTTAAAAAGGAGTACCTATGCTCTTTAATCTCGATGAGTTGCTAAATAAATTACAACAAAATAAGGGCTTATTATTTGAAATAAGAATGCAAAGCCAGCCTTCCAAGCATCTTCTTGTCGTAAAGTAATTCTGTAATCTGAAGTTGAACATCTTAGGTTCTCTGCCAAGAAACTTGTTTCATCCTTAAATAAGTTGCATCACCATTGAAGGTCAAGCCACTCAGTTTTTAGACCTTGTCGAGTTAAGGGCCTGTATTGTAGAATCTGGTCAACCGTCATAAACTATGGTATTTTATTCGGGTGAATTAAATTGCCAAATACAAGGTTATTTTGCGATAAAATAAATATGTGAGTTTTATAGGACGATGAAAAAAAACAAAAGAGGTTATCGAGTCGACCCTTCTTTTTTTAAATTATAATAATATTATGTATACTTTTTTTAAGAATGTCTTAAAAATAACTGATTTAGGGCTGATTTTTCAATGGTTCGATAAATTGTGATGCTGTCGCGTCAGAATGTTTGTATCGTTTGTATAATGTATTGACAGCAACAGTTTCTCAGATAACATTTATCTGACTATTAAAAAATCAGCCCTTAAAATAGGTACCTAATGTTCTTAATTCAAACACGTGAATCGTTTTTTTTTTGTAGTGATGGAAGTTTTGTTTTAGCCTTAGTTAATATATGTATTGTACGATATATTAATTGATCACTATTACGCAGATATTAGCAATGGATGATATATAAGTACAGTAGAACAGAATGTAAACGATCAGAGTCATATCTACGTATACGTAATATTGTTAACGTTAAGTTAATTATTTGTTTGAATGTTCTTATCTCCGAAACTTCTAGTTCGAATTCAACAATTCTTTACGTGCTGGATAGTCCATTTATCGGGGAAGGCTATAAGTCATCACGCTACGACTAATAGGAGACGTCGAAACCGTAATTGAGTAGCTAGTAAGGTATGATTAAAATGGAATGATATGCCTTTATAGGTAATTCGTTAAAAGAAATAATAACTTAGTTAATGACTTTCAACGTTTCTTATAAGAACTCGAGTAACACGACAAAAAACCATTTCAACAAAAGTTCTGAATTCAATCTTCGTTATTTATTTATACTAACAATGTAGCTGTATACACCTACATATATACCTATCAAAAGACACCTATACCTATTAATTAAAGAAGAAAGTTGACGCCATGGGTCTACAAATCAAGCAAAAAATAAATCTATTAAAACCGCTTTCTCGAAGTTCATTATGAGTTGTTGGTACAAAAGTCCATCACATTGGCAAAATTCCAGCAAAAAGTACCAAGATATCATAAGTCTACAGTAAGTAATATTCTCACCGTTCTCAAATGGAAATCGTACGAAGCAGGAGCCACTGGAACTCTAACTTCTTCCAGCTCATCCGAACAATTCATTTTACCGTAGAAAAAATGTAACTCCTTCGTCGCATTATATCCTGGTAACAGCTTATACTCTCTATACACAGGAGGATAAAACGGTTCTGTGATATCGATACATATCTTCTGCTGCCTGTGATACGCTTGCCCCAAGGGACAACACTTTTTAGCACAAACTTCCTTCAAACACACACATCCCCTTTCCACTTTGGTCACATTATCCACTATAATTTCATTTCTTTCATATTTAACCCCTTTATACGTCCGATTTTTTAGCACTACACTGTATTCCTCATCACATTGTGATACTATTTGAGTTATTATTGCGAACACAATAAACACTATTATTGTCTGCATTTCGTTACGGCTCAGCGCCTGCGCCTACTTTGGTACGATCGTCGCGTGCGCAGGTCTTGGAGTGACTGTCAATTTGAGTTTACATCGCAGGGTTTTCCGTGGTCGTCCGGTAAACAACAATTACCTCCGTTAAATTGCCTACTACTTGTAGTACTGTTAGCGTGTGCGTACGAAATTATAAGAAACAATGTTTTTCATTGTTTTTTCCAGTTTTGGAATGAGTAATAATCTTAAAAAACAATTTTAACTAGCTAATTATTTTACAACTAAATTTTAATTGACGATAAGATAATATTAACTTATTGTATTTCGTTATAACTTATTTTTAATACGCGTTTGTTTTTTTAACGTTGTTTTTTAAATAAGTTGTTTTGGAACCTTGTTCAAATTAACATTCAAAAATGGAACACAAATACGAAGTTCTCATTTTTTAATTTCACCATAAAAAAAGGTTTATTGACGCGTGCATAGTAGCACTTACGCATAAAATATTATTATGTGTGTATGTGTTATTAATTAACTTTTCAAATACCTTGTGATAATATATTTACGACTATTTATTTACTAGTCAATAGTGAATGCTTTACAACTTCTTGTAAGCATACAAAGAGGTATCTGTGTTCCATCTGTGTTTAAAGTATTTATAATATATGTCGAAACAGCTGAACCGGTTTTGATGTTGTTTTCGTTGTTTACATTAGAAGTGACTCATATTGAGTGGACTAAAATTAAAAATAGGTCTACGGCGTTTTAAGATTTGATTCATTTCTCTTCATCTTTTACTTTAGATATAGGTAATAATAGCTTGTTAAATATGAATTTTTATTTCATTCTTTACCAGGAGTAAGTCGCGTGTATTTTGAAAATGACCTACCTCAGCATAGTTTAGGAATTAATTCACTAACGTCTTCATCATGTTAGGATTTAGGAATTATACATTTCTGTATCATTACTAGGTATTTTCAATAACATCCCACGGACATCGGTGATTAGCTTTTCACGTCTAATCATCATTTAAATATCGACCTATATCTCATAGTTGTATAGCTATAGCGGCCTACACTACAATTCCAAAGACAAGATCTCCATTACAGAACAAGTTTACACCAATGGTCATCGGTTCTTCCATTTTGAGAAAAATGTGACTTAACTACTGTTACTTTTGGGCTGATAATTCTTTGCGCTGAGATGACTGTATTAGTAGTTGTTAAGAAAACACTAGTAAGTACCTATATAGCATAATGAAAGTCAATTTTTTTCTTAATTTTTTTTTTGATACTTTTTACGAAGTACATGTCAGTCACACCGTACCTTTAAATCTACTTAAACCTATTTAATCTATACTAAGATTATAAAGATGTAAAATTGGTAAGTTTTTATGTAGAAGGCAAACTTTGGAACCGTTGGTCGGATTGCCAAAATTCTTTCACTGACAGATAGCTAGAATGTTCTTGAGTGCTATAGGCTATAAAACATCACGCTACGCTTACATGAAGCCGACCGTGCGAGAGTAGCTAGTTGACTTATAAAAACGTAATTTAAATAATCTAAATAAATCAAGGGCGGTTATAGAATTAGGTTTAAATAAAACATTATTAAAAATACCTACATCAAATTAATTTGACTGGTGCTTAGCATAAAAATTATCTCTAACAGACTGAAAGTCTAATTTTGTAATGTCTCTCACTTTGGGTGTGGCAAGAGGGAGTATCGGACTCTTACTGACTAAAAACCTCCTTGTTCCTTCTCCTGCTCTGAGTCTGCCATGACACATTATTACGCTAGTCCAAAAAAATACTGGCTAGACATAATTAAACCTAACAGTGCACGCTTGTTTAAAAAAACTGGCTGGACATAATTCAACCTAACAGTGCGTAGAACTGTGGCGTTCTATGTTTGAATTTGAATTTGAATTTTTAAAAAGCATATTTATCCTTGGCCATTGAACTTTCGCCTAAGTAAACCGGTTTGGTTTTCAAAGTAGGTTTGGTAGGACTGATTGTATATCTATATACTTTGAATTAGATAGGTATATATCTAATGCATCGACATTCCCGCGAACAAGTATTGACAGAACAGTTATGTATTAAAATGTTTTTAATTAGAATGAGGTTCTTTGCCATTTATTTTTAAAAACGTTGCCCCACACCAGGATTTTATCATGTATCGTGGGTGCGTATACAAACTTAAAATTTCACATACACATCACGCCCAGACCCGGAACAACAATTTTTGGATCACACAAAGAGTAGTTCCGTGCGGAAATCGAACCCGTCACACGTTGCGCTGCAGCCAGTTGCCGAGCTACCGCGCCAAACGTGCAGTCGATCGATATAGAAGTTTAACTTCCTCAAAATTGCCATGTAGATAAAAATCTGTTAGATTTGTTAATAAATATAATTTAATAATAATTTGCAGGCTTGCTTGCTGGTAAAATACAGTGATTTTTATGTTTTAATATCTTCACTCGTGAAGTACCTATGTATTTCTTGCAAATAATTATTACATATAATTATTTGCAAGAAAGGTAGATATGATTTGATTATAAACAAGAATCTAATTCTACTAACCTTCTTGCTCCGTGCTAATAACCTATCCATGATTTGCAGCAAAAATATAAATGCGTTTGTTGAGGAATACCTAACATAGGTAAAGTATAACACACATTCATCATGAGCCTATAAAATAAATGTCCACTGCTGAGCAAATGCATCTTTTTACACAGAGAAGGTTTGAGCATTAATCACCACACTTGCTCAAGGTGGATTGGCGATTTCAAATTTATAATTAAAATAATAAGTTCAGGTTTCCTTTCGATGTTTTCATTCACCGTATGTCAGTGGTGTCTAAATATCATAGAAAGTACATATAACTCGGAAAAAGTCAAATTGCTACTTGCCAGATTTCGAACCCTCATGCGCCTCCTGGCGCCCGCATTTCATATGCTTATATATTTATAACTTTCATATATATAACTTTCGTGCCGCCACGACCAAGTATAATTTATAAGTTCAATTTACTAAAATATTTGTTATTTATGTGTAGTGTGTGTGTAGTGGATGTGTTGAAAATTCCACTCTTATTGTTTAACTGTGGGAGAGCCATGCTTCGGCACGAATGGGTAGGCACGACCGGAGTGATACCACGGCCTCATATAAAACCAGCGTGAAACAACCACAGCGTTGTGTTTCGCCGTGTGAGTAAGGATACCGGAGGCCCAATTCTTCCCCGTTCCCCAGTCCCTAAATCTCGAAACCCTAATCCGTAAAAGGTCGGCAACGCACTCGTAACTCCTTCGTTGCGGCTGTCCATGTGTCCATGGGCGGCACTGATTACTTACCATCAGGTAATCCGTCTGCTCGTTTGCCGACCTATTACATAAAAAAAACTATCTTTGTAATTTTTTTTTATGTTAAAAACAAATATTGGAGACGCGAACACGAACACATCGATAAATTAGTCTAGAAGCGATGTGCATTTATTTTTCTAATAATACAGACTATGTAAATTAAATTCTTTATCCTTGACATTATATTGTATTTTATTCCCTACAAATAGTGACTCATTAAGAACTCTTTGAACTTATTCAGAATCGATTCAACAGTACCTACTTTGAAATGTCATCGCATTGGTAATTCCCCAAATAATTAGAATTAGAGGTAGGCAGGTAGGTAACTCACCTATAGTGGGTCAGGTTCCTAATGAATTAATAGTTAGTTATTTATAACGGCATTCAACATTTTATTAGAACTGTACGGTATGACTGTGACGTAAGCGCGATTTTCGCATGAAAATTTAGTTTTTCCATAGGTTATAAATTTTCAGGAATTACACACATTTTTTTTATTTAAGATGTTTGATTGGCAATCGTCTGTAACAACTTTCCGTTTTAAGTTTTTTTTTTACGAAAGTTCTATGATACAGATAATAAATTACAAAAAAAAAAAATCATTTGCAATCATCTCTTACAAAATAGAGTATCTATTTTGTTTATGTATATAGTTTTCATTTTAAGTACTATCTTTTATTAAATATCTTTTATTAAAAGTGGCAGGATTATGTTTCATTGCGGACCCAAGTAGTAGGTACCTACCATACAATTATGACCTTTTTCATCTCAAAGACCTGCTACTAAATACAAAAGCTATAATGATGCAATCCTATAATGAGACAATTATATAGCAACAGATTGCACGGTTGGTGCGGCGGCTGGGCAACTGGCTGCCGTGCAACGTGTCGCGGGTTCGATTCCCGCACGGAACAACTCTTTGTGTGATCCACAAATTGTTGTTCCGGGTCTGGGTGTGATTTGTATGTGAAGTTGTATGTAACCGCACCTATGACTAAAGAGAAATCCTAGTGTCGGGCAAAGTTTTATTTCAAAAAAATTATAAAAAAAATTGCAACAGTTATTTTTTTAGTTAAATAAAATATTTTTATTTTTTTATTTTAAGTACTTGTCACTTAATATGTCCTCGAATTGCAAACAGAGATAAACAATTTTATAATAAAGTACCGCTTGCCCAGCTAGGAACAAGAAAACAAACAGGATGGTTTTTTTTAAGGACGATTCTGACACACTCGCCTCACTCATGGCGCGAAAGGACCATCGATGATATTCCGAAAAAAAGTCTAGATCTAAGTAGACGCACACTTAAATATCGACCACCGAAAATCAACCTTGTTTTTTTTATATATAAAGTACAAAACCAATTAAAAAACCCTCACGAACAATATCAGAGCACCTTTGAATTTTGTGTTAAAAATATATTATTTAAAAATAACACGGGGACACTGCTATTACGATATATTCGATACAACAGTATTAGTTTGAGAATCGCGAGTGACTAGTCGAGCTGCCAGCCAAATGCACCGCGTTACAAGTATTAAATTAATTTGAAAGCACCCCATAAATTTCGCCAAAGAGTGTTAATATTACAGAACCGTTCATTTTCGTTCGTATGAATCAACAAACATGGGCACACTTAGTTTAAGTATCATTCGTTTATTGTCTCAAAAACATTCTCCAAATATTCTTTAAGAGCGCAGTTATTCGCGGG